GGGAAGAGAAAAATACAACCAAAAGCCATCAGGTTACAGACCCTGAGCACAAAACCTACTACACTTTCAAACTGAACTAAAACAGGAGAAACAACTTTTTTTTTTTTTTTAAGGTAAGTAGTTTTCTGTTTCTCAAAAACACCTTCGACTTTTCAACGGGTGGTCATAAACGATGCTGCCAAATGGTCTTCAAGTTTTCGTCTGTCCTCCCTCAAATAACTAGAACTTGACCGTATGTGAGAGAGAGAAAGACTGTACATGAGGTTTTAAATTAAAAAACAATGAATGCACGGAAGGACCTCATGCTGCCTTGAACGCATTTTAAATAAACACCCTCCCTGTTATTTTGTTTTACGTTCTAGAAGAACATCTCTATTAAAGCATTTGTGCGCATTTGACAAATAATAAGGTCCTGGAGATAAGTGCTGTTGATAGTAAGCATAAGGGACAGCGTTTCTAAGCCTCATCTCTGGTACTTAAAATTGAATCTAGAAATAGAAACTCCTTAGATAATTAAAGATAGCTTCCCTTACATTTGCAGTGTGTGATCTGTTTAATGTCTATCAGCATAACACAACACTAATCGCCAAGCATCTTCGAGTGGCTGTCAGAGAAATGTAAAAAAATTAAGCAGCTGCAATACGCCCAAAATGAGTTATTGTAATTACATTTAATTAGTTTAATTAGTTAATTATTTTGCTTACAGCTGTACAAGAGACTGCAAACATTTGTTAATATCACATTCCCTTTAACAGTATGGGGTGATGCTGCAGTTACACTAAATCATGCGCGCATATGTAGAAAGATTTAAAACATGGGCATGGGGAAGGGGGGATTCTTGGAGGAAGGGGGGAAGGAGGTCGGGGCTGCCTTTCCGTAGGCATTTGTTTCTCTCCCCTTCACGTTCGATTCGCCTGGGAAATGCATTTAAGCCCCAAAGGGAATCAACCCCCTTCCCCCATTCAAAGCCAAGGGGTCCCCACCGAGGACTACGGGGGCAAAAGAGGAGGGGGCCCGTGGAACCTCCATTTGCGCATGGGGTGCTCCATTCGAGAGCATTTGTGTAATTAAACCCTTTGAAGGACGGGGGAGGGGGGATATCAACTTTTCCTTTCACATCTCTCTCCTTTCCCCTTCACCCTATCTGCCGATCCAAGCAACTATTCGTCTTGCTGCCATGTATGCCTGCTTCCCGGATGAATTAATTGCCCCAAAGTAAAAATATATCATGAAGATATTGCCACACAGTAAAAGTTTGTCTAGCTTGTTGGAATAATCCATACCTTTTTTAATGACAGACTGGTCCAATAAGTTCATACCGCTGTTATTGGCATCTTCAACTGACTGTGGATATAAAAACATCACTATTCAAATTGACTGGATATTAAAGAATCGCGTACATAAATCATGTCATTCCAAACTGGAGTTTCTGTTATTTCCATTTATATTAATTCGCTAGGGGAGGAGGGATTTTTTTTTATTATTGTTATTATTGTTATTATTATTCCCCCAATCGACAAGGAAATGAAATTCTTACAAATTATATAGTCTTCTAATAAAAAAAGAAGTGTGAAGCATATGGGGTGCAATACTGGTTTTGTTATCTTATAAAACATAGATATCACATAGACTTCTTTGCATTCGATAAAGCTTTATATTTCTTCCTTTGAAAATCTGGCAATTTGGCAACATCTGCAAGATCTATTGCATGACATAAATGAACACGGTTAAGGACAACTTAAATTCTCCCTCCCCTTTCCCCCCCCCCTCTTTTTTTGTTTGTTTGTTTGTTTGTTTGTTTAACCCTGCTACATCTTAATAATTCAAGGGCCATTTACTTTTTATATATAATAGTTTACATTATGGACTTTTAATTAAAGCCTGAGCAATTCGGAGTGCAGCGCAACGCCCACATCGTACAGGGTACAAGCAGAAAGAGATTTACGGCTCCCGGGGTTGCTTCCATGTCCTGAATTGGTGGGGACGGGGAGGGGGGAGCAGGAGCAGACATTATGAAAAGTGCGAACTATTAAATTGATTGCCTAGAAAACTCTCTCCATCTCCTTTTCAAAGCCTTTTCCCCCCTTTTCCCCCCTTTCTTTTCAGCCCGCTCAGGAGCACACCTGTTATTACGGCATTAACTTCTTTGGCAGGGAAGAGAACAAAGACGGGCACAGAGGACAGAGCAAATGCTGGGCTTCATTTCTCAGCACGAGAGCCGGGGTGTACAAAAACAAACCAGCAAGCCAACGTTACCGCTGACTCTGCGGTCGGCACAGCAAAATCGTCTCCCAAAGAGAAGAGGTGTCGTAAAAGCCATTTATTGCGGCATGACGACAGGTTCCGTTTTAGGGTAAATTCTGGGTTTCGGAGAAAGGGAGGACCTGTGGGTTCCTTGGTTTTATTATTTTATGTTTCTTCTTATTATTTAGGGTTTGGGTTTTTTCCGGGTTACTGCATATTTGGGGAGTCGTCACTTTTTTTCCCTGATAAGGAAAACACCTTTACAGCAAAGCAATTATTTTCTTCCCTATTATTTTAACTTTATCTTTGCTACACCGAGAGGCTGAGCTCATCCGGATCCAGCCCTTATCTCCGGCTCTCTCTCTGCTCAGCAGAGACGTTCGAGATGGAATATGATTTAGGAGAAAATTACATCTCCCCAAAATGTGACGGAACAGTATTTTCCGTGAGATCCTGCCTTTCATTTTCCTTGAATCCACACTCAAACGAGCGCGCACACACACACACACACTGGTTCCTTCTGCTGTGTGTTTGTGCATGGCTGTGTCTCTCTCTCATAATCAATAGGCTACATACCTAAAGGGCACAAAATAAAATTACAAAGTCTTCCCTCCCTTCCCTGTGCAGCTCCCGAAGAGGGATGATGGGCAAATCCTGCAGCCTGCTGGAGTGCGTCGTGGTGCACCTCGATGGCGCAGAGTTGGAGGTGAGTGTGAAACGCCATCTTCCCCTTTCTTTTTTCTTTTCCCTCCTTATCTCACCTTATCTCTGGAGTCGATGGTTGTGCACACGCTTTATGTGTGTGCGTGCACTCCGCTCGCTCCATCAGCAACGTGGGTTAGTTGTTGTAGTTAATGAGAAGACTCCTGTCTGATTTTCTATCTAATTACGCCCTCCTGCTGGGTTTTTGTACAGGATATTCGCTCAGCATGCTGGCAGTTAATAGTCACAGAGAGGATCGTAAAGATTTAATTAGGACTGCATGCGGAAACGTGGAAAAACAACTCAGACTTTTAATTACTAGACTTCTTTAGTTAAAAGTGATACCAGGGGTTACTTTATAAGAGACTTGGGTGTTTTGGTGCAGCTTAACTTTCCGTGTCTCTAGCTAGCACGTAGGAGCGGGGACGGCAGTGCGAGGGAGGAGGAGGAGGAGTGGAGGTGTGTGTGCAGGGAGGGGAAAGGTGATGAGTTTCCAGATATACTTAGAAAACCTAGAGAGGAAGATTCCCCTCCCTCCCCTCCTCCAATAATCTGATAGCACGGAGTTTCCTGTATACCATATATATACACACCTTATTCGACAGCTATGGATATATCTGAGAGAAAACCCTAAAACCTGATCTTTTTGTGTTCCTTTAAAGAGTCTAAAGAATCTGCATTTTCCCCTGTGTATTTTCTTTGTCGTATTTTTTACTAGTAAACCTTACTCCTGCCTAGCCGGGGAAGAAAAAAAAAAAAAACCAACAACCAACCAAAAAACTGGGATTGCAATGGTGTTTTTCAGAGTCCCTATTAGATGATGCAAATTTGTTTTCAATAAGTAGGTCTTGGCTTCCCCGTCTGAGGGCTGTAAATCGCAGATTGAAAATTCCTCTCGAAAGGGGCAGCAATAGCAATACAATACGTCCTGTTTACAATAACAGAGCGCTATCGTGTTACAATCACTTAATTCTACCCCTGGACAATGGCTCGCACATGGCCTGGATTTGGTGTTTATAAAACAACCACTGTTTCCTTCTGTCACGCACTCGCTTTCTGTCTCGTTCTCCCTTGTCAGCCCAACCCATTCTCATGGCACGTATTTGATCAGACATGCATAAGCTAAAGCAAAGAGACACATCTTTATCCAGCTGCATACCCAGGTATCGGTTCAACTTTTTGGACTTCTAAAAGAGAAAAAAAGCCCACAAAACTATTTGAGACCCTTCCTGGAAATTCTCTCTAGTGTTCGTGGATAATAAGTATATGTCGCCTAAACAGGAATCCCTGTAGCCGGAACGGATCCCTTGCAGCTAGAAGAAATCCATATTAAAAATCAGGGGGGGAAACTGCCCAACTTCATCTGTCACTAGTGGGGGGACAAGAACAGAAAATGCTCAACGGTAGGAGCGAGTGCTGGGCTGCTTTCCCTTCTGCCTGTGCTAACTTGCAGTTGGACACTTCTTCCTTCACGTGTTTCTCCTTGGGATACCCTCCTCTCCCTCTTCCCCTCCTCCCCCAGCCTGAGACCAAACTTTTAGAAATAAAGGGCCTCTTTCACTTCCCGCGGCCTCAGCACCCCAAAACAAGAACCCCAGC